CTTATGACAAGACCCCTTGCTGAAATGACTATGGCTCCCACATATAAAATATGCAGTGAAGTAATTGCTAATATGCTCTTCGTATTCATCACACACTACTGCCAACCAATGAATAAATGAACGAAGCAGTGTGGTGAGGTGGATGTAAGTGAGTAAATGAATGTCGAATTGGGTGGACGAATGCCTTAATGAGCACCGATGCACGTTGTTGCCAAAAGACAAAGCGACTTACAGTGAACGAGGGGTTGCGATCAGGGTAAAATAAGTACAAGAGCTTTGCAAAGTCGCGTCTGACAAGGTCGACTAAAAGGAGGTGATTAACTAATCATGGCTCCATAATCATGAATTATTTTAAGCTGCACGCTTCCTTAAACTGTTCACGCATTTCTTCGTAGTCCTCCTTTGTAGCTTGTTTCTCGGTTTCCGTCCACTTGATCGTCTCCTCACACTTCGCAAGTATATTTTTTCGGTGCTCCTCAGATATCTTCTGCGTTATCTCCTCCTTCTCCATGTTCCTCTTCATGCTGTAGATGCAGTCCACTAACGCGTTCAGCGCTGCCACCCTACTCCTCCCCTTCTCGTCCACATGCTTGAACTTCTCCGCTTCAGCCAGCATTCGCTCTATCTCCTCCGCCGACAGACGACCCTCGTAGTTGGCAATAGTCATGCTTCTCTGCTTCCCTGTCGACGTTTCCACCGACGACACATGAAGAATGCCATTTTCGTCAATTTCAAATGTATTTTCGAACTTAATCTCATCACACTGTGCTGCTGGAAAACCCAGTATGAGAAAGTGGCCCAAAAAGTGGTTGTCACTCGCCTTCACTCGTTCACCCTCATAAACGCTGATCCACACACTCGTTTGATTATCCACAGCTGTTAAGGCATTGCATGTCTGCTTCGTCGGAATAGGCGTGTTTCGCTTTATTACAATCCCCACCATACCATCTGCATCCTTCAGTCCCAATGACAGTGGCGTTACTTCCAGCAACATCAAATCCTGCATCGAATTCGACACACCACCAGCCAGGTTGGCAGCAAGCAACGTCGCACCATACGCCACTGCCTCGTCCGGATTGATGGACCTTTTCAATTTTCTACCATTGAAGAAGCCCTGCAACATTGTCTACACCTTCGGAATATGCGTCGATCCACCCACCAGCAATATTTCGTGAATGTTAGCCTTGTCTATCTTCGCATCGCTCAACGCCGTCTTCACAGCATCTATCGTCTGACTGAAGAGGTCCATGCACAGCTGCTCCAATAGGGCCCGTGTGAGGGTTATACTGAAATTAGTGCCCTCAAACAACGATACCATGCCTACATTAGTGGACTCAGCCGAGCTCAACATCCCCTTTGCCTTCTCACACGCCTCTCTCAGACGGCTGATGGCAATCTTGCTAGTGGTCAAATCCTTACCCTTGTGAGCCTGC